TGAAATACTCCTCCGGTTCTAAATATAAGATGTACTTTGTAATATAATTTACACTATAAAGTAGGTCTTATATTTAGGATCGGAAGAGTATATCTCCTCAATATGCCTTAAAACCTAACTCACCCACCCTAGAATAATTTCTTAGGAAAATCACTATGAGATCTCATAATTTAATTACCAAAAAGTCTCACAACAAATGAGCAACATGCAATGACAAATTTTAGTATAGAAATGATAATAGATTTATGCCACTGAATTTTTTATTACCGCACTCCTTTCTTGAAACCTACTCATAATAATTTCCCCTATAATTTTTTTCCTGTGCATAGCTCTTTTTCTTTGGATAGTATGCATAGCTTTATTTTACTCATACCAACGAAGATTAAGCAGTTAGTAAAAACATGCTCATGCTCTATGAGATTATGGATTGAAATGTTTGAAAGAATAATCTGTAAATATTCTGTATAAATGTTTTTAACAATGCATGAGATTTATTCTAGTGTGGTGACGACACAAGTGATCAACACAAGAAGAGAGGCCATCTGTTTTTAGCCATGAAATCAAGCTTAATTACAGTTAGGTAGGTAGAGTGAACCATCTTTCCTCTCCATTATTGTCAATAATCAAATATCACATCCTTGCTTTTTAATTGTGTTGGTCTTTGGTTTGTTTTTTCTTTCAAGGGAGTAGCAGTGATCTGAATCAGAAATCATAATCATATTCTTTTGGCTCACTAACATCTCATATTATTATTATGAAAATCTCATCATCACCTATACAGAAGATACTTCCATTGAAGGTCGGGTTCTAAAGTAAAAAGAAGAGTATAAGTGAAAAATAATCCATAAATGAAATACTCCTCCCAAGTGTTAATTGTACAAGTTAAATAACTCATTTATAAATACTTAAAAAGTTAGTCAAATTAGTTATTTATAACAAATATATATACTGTTTTCTCTAAAATATTCTCTTTAGTCATTGCATTGAAAAACATTATAATTGATGAAAACCCTTTTTAATATATGCAATCAATACAATTATTTATATTTATAATCATAGCAAACTTTCCAGCTTCTGCATTTAGGACCGGAGGGAGGACTAGCATTCTTATTTTGTAATAAATCATTTCTTAACAACTGCTAGAAGACTACTAGTTATAATTATATATCAAGCCATGACAAAAATAAAAGTATAGCTGAAATTATGTCCTTTTATATGATTGACTTGATCTATTCAACTTCTTACAGATCAAAACTTCTGGTGGAAATTGATCACTCACGACTGGGAATAAGCTTTATTTAGTTCAGCTAATTCATTTTGCTAATGATTCATAGGCGCGTGCGAGATAGAGAGAGGGGGGTGGAAGATGAAGAAGTCTCTGAGAGGGGGAAAAAACATCAACACTAGAAGTTTCTGAAGATATAAGTCTCATTCTGAATTTATTATTTCATGACCAAAAAGGTCTCAAAAAGAAGATTTAAAGTCACACATTATTACCACATTGCTAAACAAAGGCTTGTTTTCATTTTTCTTTTGTGAGTGGTAGCTTTTACCACAGTAAAGGGTCTCATCCAACTTTCCCAGCTAAAGAAAAGGGTTCAGTTTCAAACTTGTCATGAAGCAGAGAAAGATATGAAGTGGGGATGCTTCAAAAACACCTTTTTTATATATATAAAAAAGACTAAATAAATACCAAAAAAACACAAAGAAATAAAAAGCCTGCAAGGTTTAATGTATTCCAACTTGCATTTGCATCAAACATGAATTATTGGCACTCCAAAGGGGGCCTGCATATGTACGATGATTTAACTTCAAACTGATGTATCACCACAATAATTCATCAGATTGTACATACCTGACACCAAATAATAAGATGCTTTTCATTTCTTTCAGGAACAGTGACTGATGATATTAGTATTATAAACGTGTAAGCATCAGAATACAGGCATCCTCCTTCGCAGGAAGTAACGAAACAAGGTTCTTCTCCTTTCTAGTATCACAATTACACACTGGGCAAGAACCTAAATTGCAGTTTATTTGTTTTATGAAATGGGATTACTTCTCTTGGTTCCGATTATTTTGCTTTAATTATTGGTCAGTGCAGGGTACTATAGTCATACCAGACAAAATTTGAGGCACTGCAAGTCTGAACAGGATCCACTTATGTATTTTGCAGAGTTTCAGCTTTTACCAATGCTTTAGTTCAGACTTCAGACACAGAGACATGTGACAATCATAACTTTAACTGTTCAATAATTTTGTGGAACCAATTAAAGATGTCCCAAGAACAACAGCCTAAACCTACATAATTAATAAATGAACACCATAGACACTGAATGCAATTAATTATCATAATTCTTCACCCCAAAAAAATTATCATAATTCCAAACTTCAGAAAAAGAACAAAAGAAAGTATTTTCTTAACTCTGAACTTCATTGAAAATGAATGATGAACTCAGAGAAGAAACTTTGGTTCCATGAATAGTGGCGGACAAAAGATTTATAACGTAAATACTTAACTAATTTTTATAGATTAAAAAAAATTAGATAAATTAGATATTTATTCAGAAAAAAATGTTCTCTGATGAATCTAAAATACATGGTTGTATATATTTGAGTTATTCTTGCGTTTCATTATTGCCTTAGAGGGAGTACTAATCAAGGTGGTTTGGAAAAAAAATAACAAATATAAGAGATAAAGTGGGTTAGAATCTTATATTAAAATCAAAGCAAACCTCCTAACTAACTCTTACATTTACTACTAAAGAGAATATAAGGAAAGTGTATTGCATTATCTTTCTCTTTATTTAAGGGGTCTCAGCAATTGATCTCACTTCTTTATGCTGATATGAATTTCACTCTCAGACGAATACTCTAAGCATAAAAATCTTGAAAATATAAGTAAAGAAGCATATCTTTAAAAGCATATTTGATAGTGTTGCGCGTTTGGGGCCAGAAAACACACATTATCAAACGTTCCCTCAACTTGGGAAACAAATATAATCCAAACAAAGTCCAAAAATACCCCAGGAAAAACAATTCACCTTTTACTCCTTAATAGCCCTTCTGATAGTCTTAAATGTTAATAAACACACCAATTGTTTCATTTTGTTCTTGCATGATTGATTTCTCATAAGCTGTGACAATGAAATGCCATTTTCCCTAGGGAAACTAAATGGCAGGGAACTCCGACTCTTCTGTTCTGCAGAAGACTTGATTACAATTTTGACTATCTATGAAGACTAAAGAGGACACTTACAATTCTTTTTGCCCAAAAAGGAAGTCATGTTTATGACCGACTATATTTAGCAATCATTTGGGTGAAGATTACAAAAGGAATAATTCAGACGCATGCAGTGAATGACATGGTGATGTGACAAGTTGAGCTATCGGAAGGATCAGAATTTCAAGTTCTTGATGATAGAGTGAAAGCCACACTAAGAGTATTCTGCAGTGGAAGACTTGAGTAGTCCCTTGAAGATAGAAGAAAGCTTTAATTTGGCATCTGCATGGTGGGATTTGACTTTCTGGATAACAAATAATATTCATTGATATAATGATGAAGCTAACACATCCATCAAGATCTTATCTATTCAAGTATGCAATATGATCAAGTAGCAATGCAAGGACTGAAACTTCAGATCTAAAAGTGAAACTAACTTGTGTTCTACGAGCATCAAGTGAACAGGTCCCTTAATGAGTGAAAGAGTATAAAGGAGGATATATATTGACTAACGGTTTTATAGTCTAATAACATGAAAACTTTTATATGAATGAGAGGTTACGGGTTCAATCTTACTTGTAATCTTAGATTATTAGTGCCTGCTCTTCCAATTCAAAAAAAATTACTTGTTAACTGAAATGCATGTTTAGGAAGAACTATCTCAACTGGAAAGTGATATCTATTTAGACAAAAACAAGTGCGTATTCCCCACATGAAGAAGTGACGTGATTTTTTTAACATGGAATTGGCACGCCTATACTATAATTATTGGCTGATCAAGAGGTGTCTTTTTTCACCAAAAAAAATAATAATACCATTAGATGATACTAAAAGACTAATCTAATACAACAAATAAACGTTACCTTCTCAAAGTGATTTTCTTTTCCTTTTCATTCGAAAAATTTAAACCCACAACTTTATTTAAGAAATATCAAGTTCTTTTCACTTGACCCAATCATAATTGTACCGATTAAAAATGTTTTTGATGGTTGGGGGAAGGGGAAATGACCACATTGATATATTGAGGCAACTTTTCATGCATAATTTGTCTATTACTCTCTTATCATCATTATTCAGAAATATTCGTTTGTTTTTATTACTTTGTTATCTAGGGACCCAATAGTTACTTCCTGTCATATTCCCTTTTCTTTTTCAGCCAAAAGATTTTGCGAATCGAACGTAATCTAAACGAAATTTCGAGAGCAGCAGTTGAAACAAGAAAGTCCACATTCCCTGAGATGTTTTTCCTCCGAACGATGATTGGCTCAAGGAAAATTTGTCTTACCAATTTTTTTCCCTCTGAACTTGCAGAAGGACGATTTAGGCCTCACAAATTGAGTCAGATTACAACTCCAATATCTATATTACTGAACAGACAAAAAGTGAAACACTAGAAAGGTCTGAATGGACAGGGGTCAATTTCATTCATCAAAGCCATATAACGGACCACTAGAGGAATCCAGCAACCTATTTCTTTCTAGAATGGTTCATAGTATATGGACTCCTTCATTTCATCAACATTCAACTTATTGTCCTCCACTTCACCTGGTCATCTCAATCAGACAACATGAATAGCATCTTAACTAAGCTTTCTTTCCTATTCAAAAAGTATGCATAGCTCAAAAATCCCCTTAAAATTAGAAGCAGTGCTTATGACGGAAGCATGGCATATTTATCAAAATTAATTAGAAGATATGTTATGAAACCCAAGCCAGTGGATCTCAAGAAATAACAATAGAATCTCAATATTTGTAAGAGTAAATAGAAACACCTGAGGTAAGGAACAATAATAGTGTCTTAAAACTCTCAAAGCATGCGACTTGGATAATGTCATTGCTCAACAGTATTTTGCATTTGTAATTTGTATTGCAGCCAACCATTCATGCCTCACAGGAGAGGATCTAACAATGTAGAATTAACAAAACTATTTTCAAAAATTGAAAAGGAAGAGAAAAGAATGTTGCTCTAAAGATGAAGAGAACAAATACGCTAATCTACATTTTGGTAGTTCTTTTTCAATTATTTTCAATTTTTTTTGTAGGTATGCTGCATATACCAAGCTAATCTTGAAGTATCATATGGAAGAACTGGTTCATCCTGAGGCAGTTTTCAGCAGTTCTTCCCACGTGGCTAGTTTTTCCCTAGGTTTGTTTACTGTAATTCCACGCCTCTTTTCTTCAGTGTCTATCTTCTCCCAATCACTGAATGAAACTATTCTTACATTTCTATCATGTAGGAGCTGGCGAAGACCGTCTCTGCCTTGTTTTGGCAAGATCGACGATGGTACCAAAACTCCTTTATTAAGGTCTTCTGATATGCTTGACACCTGTCATGTTGATTGTCAGCCAAAATACAAAACTAACAATCACACAGATCCATATTCCATATGAAAGTAAAGCAACTTGCTTGGGACAGAGCTACTATGCCCTTCCACCCCCCCGGGGGGGGGGGGATGAAGGCTTTATGGATTTAGTAGCTCATTTTACAATATAACTTGGCATGCATGTATCATATAATTATATTTCTAGTACTATTAACATCAGGCAATGGAAAAATAGTTAAGAATCTAACTACTTCGAATGCCAATCACCCACAGTATTTCAGACTCAAATCTTTAACACTTCTCAAGCAAAAATTTCATGTTTAGCTGTTTGCAAACTCCCTAGGAACTTATAAGCCCTAGTATGGCAGGTTTTGCAATCATCTATACCACTGTCAAGTAGTAAGCTTCCTAAGAACAACATGAATATAGAAGCAAGCTTACAGTTTCTTCAGCACAGTAAAGGTTTGTGGCAATAATTCCAGTTGGCCCTCTCTTCAGCCAACCACAAACATACAAACCCTCCTCAAGTAATGTAGAATCCCCTGAAGCATCACTCAGCACTCGACCTTCGTTATTGGGAACTATACCTGAAAATTAGCAACCACATATTGATGAGAGAAAGGGGAATAGAAATACACAGAACATGAAAATAAAAAAGGGATTTGGAATTGAGAACTCCATCATTGATCCACATAACTCCTCTCAAGTCAGATTATAAGTTATATATTTTAGCTAGTTAATATTCTAACAAGTCCAACAACAACAAGCCTTATCCCTCTAGTTGGGGTTGACTACATAAATCGCATGACACTATTGTCATCTATCAACTATCAAATATTTTGATAGATTGTTAACGAAAGTCTCATTCAATGACCTCATTGAGTGTGCTCCTCGGTCTTCTTTTGCCTTTTTTAAAAGGCTCCAAACTGTCTGATTTACTTTTCTCACCGGCACCTCCAATAGCCTTCTCTATACATGTCCAAAACACCTCAAACAATATTCAACCATTTTCTCTTTGATAGGTGCCACAAGTACTCTTACTCTTATATTTGCATTTTGAATCTTATCTTTTCTTATATGACCACACATCCATCTCAATATCATCATTTCTGCCATCCTAACTTTATGCTCTTGTTTTTCTTTTAGAGCCCAACATCCACTACCATATAACAGCTAATCCTATAGCAGTCTGATAGAATTTTTCTTTAAGCTTATCAGATACCTTTTTATCGCAAATAACTCCAACAGCCCTCCTCCACTTTAACCACCTTGCTTGTATTCTATGAGAAACTGTCTCCATCAATTTCAACATCTTCATGTATGATGGATCCCAGATATTTGAACTTTGACACTTGAGAAATGATTTGATCTCCCATTTTAACCTCCAAATCACCACTAACTTGCCTCTCCCAAAATTACAATGCATATATTCTGTTTTGCTCCTACTCAAACAAAAACCTTTTGACTCCAAGGTACTTCCCCATAGCTCTAATCTAGAGTTAATCTCTTCTCTTGATTCAATCACGAAAACTATGTCATCAACGAAAAGCATGCACCTAGGGATTTCTTCTTGAATAAGCCTAGTTAGAACATCTAGAACATGATTAAACAAGTAAGGGCTCAAAGAAGGTCCCTGGTGTAGCCAATCTTGATAGGGAAGTCTTTTGTTTCACCTCCAGGCTTTATTATACTTGTAGTTAACCCCTCGTAAATATCCCGTAAGGCTTTGATGTAAGCAACCCAAACACCTTTCTTCTCCAAAGCTTTCCAAATTATTTCTCTTGACACATGATCATAAGCTATTTCCAAGTCAATAAAAAAAAATGTAAATCCCTTCCTTTACTTCTATACCTTTCCATTAACCCTTTTAGTAAATAACTCCCTTCTGTCGTGAATCTCCCCAGCATAAATCCAAATTGGTTCTCAGAAATGGAAGTGTTTTTCCTCTGTAGCTTACATAGTTTTGAATTCTTTTACTCTTGTAAATAGGAACCAAAGTGTTTTTCCTCTATTCATCCAACATAATCTTGGAGTGTAAAATTTCATTAAAACGCTTGGTTAGCCACAATTCACTCTCCTCGCCTACACATTTTCAAACTTCGATAGGAATACTGTTAGGTCCAATAGCTTTGCCATTGTCCATTTTCTTAAGAGTTGCCTTAACCTTTCCGATGCGGATCCTACGGTAAAAAACCAAATTCCATTCCTCTTCGTCAATTAACAAGTCCTCCAAGCCCAAGTCAAACATTTGCTTCCCTCATTAAAGAGCTTGTAAAAGTAGCCCTCTCATCCATCCTTAATATCACAATCAATAACTAGAACTTTACCTTCTTCATCCTTTATATACCTCACTTGGTCCAAATCTTTCTTTGTCCTCTCCTTTTGCTTCGTAATCTTGTAGATAACCATCAAAACAATACATAACAATAAACACTAAGAACTACAACAACTTATCATCTACTTCCATGATGCTCATAACACAGAGATAAGAAGAGCAAATGCTGGGGGAAAAAGAAAGGAACTACAAAATATACATAGTTAATCATAGTATAAATGACACTGACCCCTTAAAGTCTATTTTTATTAATACTCTTGCTATAACATTGTACAAAAGTCAGTGCAAATAACTATAAGAAAAACAAATTTGATTGGTAACAGTAACAAAAATTTTGTTATTTTTTTACTGTTTTTCCCCCCTTCTAATTCTCCAGATAACACCACAGATGTTTTTAGGAAGAAGAAACGAGAATCCATTTCCAAATTTGTTATTGATCTCCAATATAATTTCCCCAAAAACACATGTTTTGGAAGAAGCCTGAGATAATTCAGAGTAAAACATAAAATAGGAAATTAACACAAAAGGTATGAAATGATTTGTTCACCTTTCTGATAATCAAAAGGCAAGCCATCAACTGGTATTGATCTGTAACCAATGCTCTTGAGTACCAACCTACAAAACATCAGTATAGTGCAATGGACTCAGCTTTGAATCTCAACATTTTCTAAAACCACAACGGAAATAAATATCTTTCCAAGGAGGCAGCGATCATTCATTTATACAACTCCATCTCTATCTCTTTGATCTTTGGAAATATGAATCAATGCCTTTGGAACTTCCATTTTTCAAAGGCATTGATCAATAGTTTTCATGCTAAGCTCTGGCTAGAATGTTTATACACAAGTGAAGTAGTTGTAATTTTACATGTTTCCTGGATAAAGAATAATACCCGCATTTTGTATCTTCAAATTGTCCAGTACCAACAGCAGCCTGTTTCCTGGGGCCCACCCCTGCAACATGCAGTAGATGAATTAACAGTAATTCTTAGCGCAAGAAAAGATTCTTGTGTACTCGAATCTTCAAGAAAAGTTTATATTTTACCAGATTGAGAAATTACAGGAGTGCATAAATCCACCATTTGTTTAACAAGGTCCTTTTTTTTCTCCCCCACAACAGTTAAAAGAAACTATGCTAAATTATCTTTACTAATCATACACTAGTACATTGATGTGGTGCTAACGATGCTAAGTTTACAATTAACAAGTTACAACATAAATATGAACAATATAAAAAATACCTTGTAAAACTGTCTTCTCAAAGCGCACACTTGAAACATGGCCAATTCTGTCTTTTGACTCCTGAAAGCTATCTGGCTTCCGGAAAAAGACAAAATGGAGTTCACGTTGATTCAGACAAGCATGTGCAGGCTTTGAAGTAGCTGCCTTAGATAGCAATTCATAAACTCTTTTCTGTATACGACTACTCTTTAATTCTTCCTTTGCAAAGTGACAGCAGCAGGCACAGATAACACCAACGGGAAGAAATTCAGGATAGTAATTTTCAGTAGGAAAAACAAACGAGGAAGTACATTTAAAGAAAATCATCACCAACTGGAAAGGAGAAACTATTTATGGAATTCCATACTTGCAAGTAGAGATGTAACATCATAGGATTCTTAAAAATAATGACAATGATAAATAAAATGTGTGTGTGTAGTTACAGCTCGTACATATATCAAATATAAGTGATGCCATCATATAAATTAGGAAACAAATTGGAAGCATCCCATACCTCATCTGCAGGAGTTAGAAGTAGATCAGTTTCCTGAATTTTAATATCAAGATTATGAATACCTGTAAGAAGATGCCAGAGCTTACATTAGTTTCGTGTATGCAAGAGACTGAAATGGTCTAAAACCTTAAGTCACTCCATTCTAAATCTACTTTTTTAGCTTTTACCCTGAATCTTCCAAAATCTAAAATTAAATGTTAATTTTTATAAAGTTATTCAAACTTTGAGATTCATATTTCAAAACTGAAATAGGATTCCCTGCACGGGTTCTGCACACGTGCATGTGCACATGTCTGTGGGTGAGTGAGAGAAAGTGACAAGACCTGGCATAGTAATATGGATCCCGTTTAAAGAAGGTTCATTGTCTACTCTTTTTTTTTTTTTTTTTTTTGGGGAGGGGGGAGGTTTAAATATATCATATGTACTTGAACAAGATAATCATATTGCATTCCCATGCAACATAGTTCATGACTTCATGACAAATGATAAACCAATACCAGGCTATATCGAAATAGCACTAGTAATCCTCTAGATTAAAAACCAGTGGCAGGACCAAGATACATGACCATGATTCCCATTTTCAGTTCAACCCCAAACCTTTAAGGTCTGGAATGTTTCAAAATCAAAACCAATGAGTTATGATAAATAAAAATCAGATGAAAAGCAAGAGGCAGTGACATTGGAGAGTGGCAAGTGAGCCCACGGAAATCATATGGGAATTGGAGGCTTGATTGATAAAGGTTATCGCTAAGCAGCAGGTCAGTTGAGGAGCAATAGTTTAGAAGAAGGTAGGAAACTTTTTAAGTCCGACTAATAACAGCATTAGGGGGTAAATTACGAGTTCCAAATGATCACCCTATGGAAAGAGTTCTGCAGAACAATAAACATGTATAAGAAAAATGAACAGTTCATCTGAAATTGGCATCTAAATGAATATGCAGAATTTACCGAGAATTTCACGTAGCTCTTTAGCAGTACAAGCTGCTTGGGCAGGACCACGTCTTCCAACCAAATAGACCTTCCTGCAGTGATCCTAATATTATGTAGATACATCATACAATAGAAACAAGATTGTCAGGCAGCTTCAGAGTATGTGATGATAAACCTTATAGAGCTCTCCTCTAGAGCAGCCAAAGCATGTCTAGAAATATCAGTCGTTGCCAACTCAGTTCTAGCCCGTAAAAGAATGCGTGCAACATCAAGCGCAACATTTCCCTGAAATTAAACGAGACCATTTACCTAGAAAACCTCAAAAACCCTTAAGGTGAGACTTACACAATGGAGAATGGGAAAAGAATATTACAAGACATATTGGTAACTAATTTTAAATTGTAAATTAGATCTTATATTTTCATTTTCTTCAATCATCTTTTTACTTCTGAATTCATTTATCTTACCGAAGTTAGCTCTTGAGGCCCTTGTTAATTTAGGTTAGGCCTGTTATGGTTGCCTTCTGATTGATTATTAATAAAATTCTCTTGGCCAATGATAGTCATTGATCCCTCTCTATTTCCTTCATATCTCCCTCCTCCTTCTTATCTTCCTACCTTTCCCTTTCTCTCTATTATTTGCTTCTGGTTCTACATCACTACCTGACCAAGAATTACAGCTGTATCAGTGCTTTTCAAGTCCGGGTCAAGATTTCTTGCATCAGGATGCCCATTATACCACCAAACAAATTCTCTGGCGGAGTATACCCCCTTCAAATTCTGATAAGAAAATAAGCAAGTATAAGGAATATGTTAAAAGTAACTCAAGGTCTAAAGTAAATAGCTAACGCATAACTATGAATTGACAAATAAGCATCAAGAAACTACTTGTACCTAAAAAGAATCCTAGTGAAACAGCAAAAATTCTACCAGAGCATTACTATCCAGGAAAAAGCAAATAACAAGTTGAAGCATACTTCTCCAGAAATTCCAAGGCTTCTATCACTTTCAGCACCATATGCGAGCACAACCTGTTGAAATGCATAGACTGATAAGAAGGTACAGCCAATAAATAAGTACTCAAAAAATTGTCACCATATATAGAGAGAGCACATCTAGAACTAGAATCTCACCACATGATACAGCTCACGTAATTCAGATAGAGAAACGCTAGACCCAAGAGCTACATTTCCAAATAATGAGCATCTTTCATGCTGTGCTACCCTTGAAAACTGGTTGATGACAATCTGTTGCAAGTTTTCTGGTACAGTAAGCTCCATTAAGAGACTTCTTTACACCAAAGAAAAAGATTGCTAGGAATAAAAAGGAGGGGAAGAAAATCAAGCATGTTATTTTTTTTTCTCAAGAACTTCGGGGCATCTGAAGAACTACAACTTCTCCCCCTTCCTTGAGATGAACATATGCAGCCTCTAGCTATTTATGGAGAATCAATACCCCAATATCAATCATATAAACACCCAAAAGACTGTTAGGCACATCGATACTAGTGAGCTTCTAAGTTTATCAATTTTCAAAGGAAAGGTGCAGATATTGACCTTTGTTTCTGGGTGGTCAGGCGCAACACCCGAGCGGACTAACCCAAAAGGTGTCGGCAACCTATCAATGATATCAACTTGAGCTTCTTGGTGTGCCTTCAACATCTAAAAATGCAATTAACATGCCAACAGTTCACAAATTTTAGGAGAAAAAAATTAGCAAGTTGATACTTGACAACGCACGTGCATAAATAAGAGCTTACCTTCTCAGCAGTGTAGAAACCAGCAGGACCACTTCCAACAACACAAACACGCAAAGGGTTAGATGAAAGAGTAGTGAAGCTTCTGGAAAGCCATGTTCTTGCTTGGAAGATTGCCATTTTCTCAACGTAATGCCTGAAATAAAGATATAAAGATGATTAGAGAGAGAGAGAGCTAATCAAAAAGAATCACCAAGAGTCTCAATTCCTTCCTTTGTGTTGAAGGGGTTTCAAACTTCAATTTCTAATCTGAGCCCTCTCAATCTTGAAGAGGCATATCAGGGACAGGATGTGCCCCTTGCATCTACTGAAGTCCAATCAACCATTGGTGAATTAACAAACCAGATTGATTTATTTTTTATATGCTTACATGCCTTTATTTTGCCTATTATCTTATTGATTGATCTTATGATGATGAAGCATAATACAAGGCTGAAACATATTATAATTATATAAGGTTGTCGTTTTCGTATCATTGCCAACCTCAAACCTCAGAAGAAATTAAAGATCCATGGATCAACACAAATAACTTTGGCGAATGTCATAAACAGCATATAGTACCACGCACCAATAATAACACTTCGAGCAAAGTACAATTTTAAATTTATACATATGGACCCATAAACTCTTAAACAATGTTAAAGAATTGATTCGAAAGTGTGCCTTAATCCCCTTCATTCTGCTTAGCTTGCTGGCACTAGCATTCGAACTTGGAACCTCGAAGTAATGCTTTTTGCAGCTCGCCTTGAAGCCCATGTATGTTGGTTAATCCCTTTCATTCTCAAATGGTTTACAACGCAATATCCACAATTGAGATTCAACAAAATTTTGCCAAAAGCATTTTTCCCCCCAGTCATTCCAAATGCTTTGCAACAAAATTCATAGCATTGCCACAAATGATAATTATTTTCCCGACACAAGATTGAAAAGGAAAAATAAAAGAAGAGCAGGGCATTACGGTGAAACCTTAAGAGGCAGGTGCACAGGACGATGGCGACGGCAAGCTCAGGAGGCGAGTCTGGTGGCAAGCTCAGTCAAAGGGCGACTGCAACGTCGTCTTAGAAACGGATTGCTCTGATGAGGCGAACCTTCTGCACGAACCGACCGCTCGGATGCTGAACTCATAAATGAGACCAAGCGGATGCTGAATCGTGAATGGGATGTTTCAGTCCAGTAGATTTCTCGGACGGCGAAGGAAGCTGCGGGCCTCCTGGCCAAGATGGCGCTGAGCTGTGTCCCTGGACCGGCTGTCTACTTTGAACATGGACCCTGGCGTTGGAACCTCAGTGTTTGGATTACTTTAAAAAGTATTTTTTCGTCAATTGAGATAAATTTATTCACATATTTATTTAAAAGTATTTTTAAAACTATAATTTTATTTTTATCCAAATACTCCATTTCTCTTGTTAAAAAAAAAAGTAAGGGTAATATGGGAATAGTGTAAAGTCATGAGGGTAATTTAGCAATGAAACAGTTTTAGAAAAAATAAGAATGTGATAAAAATTGATTTGAACACACTTTTTAAGAGTATTTTTGGAGCAATCCAAAGACCCCTGCACCATCTACTGTAGTCCGATCAACCATTGGTGAATTAACAAACCAGATTGATTTATTGCCATTTTTTCTATTTGAATTGGGTGTGCCAAAAATATTAAAATTAGAAGTTTCATTTGATATCTTTGCTCTCATATTAGAATTAGGAGTTCGATGAAAATTGAGTCTAGAAGAAAGCATTACTCCCTCATATTCTTGCTCAAAGAAGTGACCACATATAATGGGAGGATACTTATGTTTATTAAAAGAAAAAGTTATTTCTCAAAATATGATAAGCATATATCTTTTTAATTTAAAATAATAGGACAAGAGTATAGTCTATATATTACTCTTTCTAATTGTAAACATAAAAACTAATTAAAAAATTTATACTTTCTTTCTAAATATAAAATCTTAACCCATGAGCGTGAGAGAAAAAGATTCTAAATAATTAACGAGCAGTTAGTCCAACTGGTAAATGGTTTCGTTTCTCGTAAGGATGAGAATGTGTGTCTAAGTCCTGAGAAACACTCTTGTTCGGAGAAGGGACAACTCCGCCTATGTGGGCGGCACTCCTACTCCTCGAGTCCGGATTAGTCGATTGCCAATAGACGCTAGATTACCATGCAATGTATAACCAAAAAAAAAAAACATTCTGAATAATGAGAAGAAAAGTTACAAGTTAGAAAACAAATCTTACAAAACATATAAAAATTTATTTTTGAAATTTATTTTGCCCTTCCTACATTGATTAGGCACATAGCTGATTAGAATGTATTTATTTTTAAATTAACTTTCTACACCAATCAGTCAAGCACATAACCAGTTTGGAAAGTAATATAATTTTTTTAAAAAAATTGATTTACTTTCTACATTGGTTAAACAAGTAATTGATGTAGAAATTAAGCAATTTTTGCGTCCAAAAATTATTTTGATTTCCATACCAATTATCATTGTAACCTGTGTCTAAACTTTAAAGTATTTATTATACCAGTTCTTTTTCTTTTTTTTATTTTGCCAACCTATTACTTATAGCTAGTTCCTCTTCCCTCACTAGTTCCTTTCTCTCACGTCCTTACATGGCATGCTGGTCTCTCACAATATAATAAACTAATGTTTAAATTTTTATTTAAAAAAGTTATTCACAATTAGTGCCCAGCTATATTTCGAGTATAGTCGTCTTTAATAAAAAATACCAATGAGTAATTAAAAAAAATCCCCGATTGTAAGAACAAAAACGTCAAATCAAATACTTTGTTTAACCCAATACTATACTATACCTAGTAGTCTTTCACAACATGATAAACTAATGTTTAAATTTCTATTAAAAAAATTATTCACAGTTAGTGGCCATCTGTATTTTGAGAATAATTGCCTTTAATAAAAAACTTCCTGTGGGTAATTAAAAAAAAAAGGTCCCTAATTGCGAGAACAAGAAAGTTAATCAAACACTTGGCGTAGCCCAATATTATACCTTATCCCTGCCTTATTCTGCCTTTATTTTGGTTGAAGTTTACAACAAACTATGATCATCAGTTACATTCTTGTGTCATAATGAGCAAAGAAATGTATTCATGCTTTTCACCCAAAAAAAAAAAAAAGTATTCATGAATGCCTTAGACCTATTTCACTAAGTTGAATTCATATTGCTGTCAATTTTCCTTTCCTCCTTTCCTATCGTCTTAAAATAATCCATTATAGCTAGCAAAATTGGGATGCTGAAAATAAGTTAACAAGTTAGGAAAATTTGTGGCTGAGGTGAAAACCTCTTTTTCTTTTTGGATACAAAGGAAAGGAAAAGCGAAAAGAGGCAACAACCACTCACAATAGTTGCATCTGTGTGGTACTTTACTCTTCCAAATGTCCATGTATGTCCTGGTTGATAGGTGCACAGCCTTATTCATCGCCATGTAGGCTGATTTTACGGTGAATGTGGCATGTCTCATATATCTGGATCACTGCAGTATTAAATGTAAAATTCAGACAACTAATGCATAAAATAAATAAAAAATTAGTTCTTTGTAGAAAAATCGTATTGATTTTCTTAAAGTATCTATTTTAATAATTTACATTAAAAATTACTTTGATGATGAAAAAAAAAACCTGTTAAAATGGTTGATAAGTGGGGAGGGTTTAAGAAAAAAATTTATATATTTAAAAGATAGTGATTATGGCTTATATTTATAATCAAAACAAATTATACCATTAGATTAAACATTCAAGATGAAAGATGAGCAGGTTTTGCTCTTCATTTTTTAGATACTGGTATCCTCTTATAAAAGATAATTATGCTCAAAATATTATCGAAATTTAAATTTTATTTGTCATATTGTGAAAGACCGGTCCGTTACGCTCAGTTATTTTAAAAAACAAACGGAAGGCCAGTAACTTAATGGGCTAGAATTACTGTTTCAATGGGCTTGGACTGCAGGAACAATAGTTAACGTTTGAAGAAAACATGCTTCTGACTCGGGCCTATTCTATGACCCAAAATAATATATGATGCGTTTGCAAACCTAAATATGTTACTAACTCAAGCCCAAAAAAATACTTCTCCGATCTTAATATAAAACTTATTTAACTAATTTGATTATATTAAAAAATTTATATAAGTTAGTTAATTATAAAAAATACGATGTATTTTTTTTAAAACACCGTAATCATCTTTCTTAATATTCTTCTTCCCTGACTTGATTATGGTTGGAAGAGTATCCATAAAGGTAATTTAGAAAAAATTAATAAATATAAGAAATAAGTCTTATATTTGATACAAAAATTAAATTAACAATTAAGTCATATATTAAGGACCGGAAAAGTATGTTACTAACATGCTTGGGTCTACCGGTAGGCCGTAGGGACTAGTCCCTTATAATATGACAAATTTGAATCTTTTTTAAGAGAGGTGCCTATATTTAATGTCTGACGGTGTTTTGAAGTGCCTTTAATGGAGGATATCTGTGTCCGGAAAAAAAAAATCTACATATGGTGTGCCAAGAAAAATTTAAATTAGAAGTATTATTTCGTCTTTAATTTGGTATGAAGTTCCATTTAAATTTAATGAGAATATAATCTTTTCTGATAATATGACAAGTTTTCTTTTGCCAAAAATAAATATAAGTGTGCAGCTCAACTATACATTTTTCAACAATACTTACATTAAGTTTTTTATATTTATCATGTTAAGTTTTCTCATCATATATAATCATGTGTAGTATTTTTGAAATATTAGCATTTAATTATAAACCCACGTAAAAAAAAAAAGGATACATAAGCAAGTATAATTGGAAAACTTGACATAATGGATATAAAAAATTTGACCTAAGTACTTTCCTTTCTTGTATCATCATTAGGAAAAAAATCACATTCTAATTAACAAATTGATAATTAAAATCTCAACATATGTGTATGAAACTTTTTCCAAGAAAAATAAGTAGTCACTCAAGTCAGTTTAAAAGCTAAATAGCTAATCTATGAATATTAAGAAAATTAGTTAAATTAATTATTTGTGAAAAAATATGGGTTAATTTTTTGAAGATGTCTTTCAATCATTTGCATTGAGAACTACCATATTAATGAAATTTTCCTTTAATATGTGTAATTAATATTTAGCCAAAAAATATGTGTAATTAATATAAATATTTAGAAAAGGTTATAAATTTAAAAGACCACGTTAATTAAACTCCTATATTTATTAATATATTCATAATTTTGAAGTATCACTCACGTACTTGAAGTTTTTCTGTTTCTTGAAAGCAAATGATAAAAGTACAAATTAAAAATGTCAAAAAGTGAAGGTGGACAAAATCAATGAAGTGAAAACGTGAATTTTTCAGCTTTTACTCATAATTAAAGTCACTCTTTCACATAACATTCCTCCTAAAAAGAAGATAAAAGAAGATGAAAGTTGACTCTGATGATTGATAAACGCAATGCATAGATATATTATTTTCATCTTCAAACTTTATTTATCATAGCGCAAAATATAAAGGTTAATATAACATTATAAAAAGAGCATAATAATAATAATAAAAGAAAGCTTACTTGATAAATTAAGCTTATAACAAAATCAAGCAAGGTAAAAGGATATGATTTTGGTAAATAATTTAGTAATGGACACTCTTGTTCCCTCTAATATCTATAGAGGAGTGGACAGGTAAAAATAAATCATCATGTTAACTGATTGAAAACGATAAATAAAGTGGGGAAGGCTTTAATATAAAGTGATATAATAAAAAGTTTGATCAATGGTGTGATTAAATAGCAATAATAAGTAGAGATAGAGTAATAAAAAGGGAAATAGAAGCACTTTTAGAAGTCAACAAGAGTGATCATTTGGGTATATGACATATGGAATTGTGTTGTGGCAAGTCAAACAACAATCCGTGACACAAAGCAATAACTTGTATATAAATTGAAGAAGATAGTCTTTTGTTTGTTAAGTTCATTGAATTTACCATGTGAGTGGTTTACTTTCGAAATTAAGAATGGGTAAGTACTAAGCAACTATATAGATATAGCACTTCATATAATGCCATGTATCATCATCAATTTCAATATATAATAAAATTTAGAGAGAATTCACTACTACAAAAAAAAAAGCCTTTTATAGTAGTTAAAATAAGATTTTCACGACGGTTTTGAGTACGACATCTATACCATCAATATAAAAAAGTAGAGAATTTCAAAACGGCTTAATAACTATCATAGTATGTGACTTTTCACAA